AATGCAATCAATTTGGCTTAATTATTTAAAGTCCAGTTCTTTTTTCTCCAGCACACCTGACAATACACTATCCCCCCAGCTACCAGAATTATACTGAGATCTGTAGTAATTTTTCAATGATGAATTTATAGCTTTCACATACATGAGAGAAGAGAAAGAAAGAATCTTAAAGGCGAGCCACACAAATTCATTACCTGCAGTCACACATACACCAAGTTTTGCATGCCACACTTCCCACGTACATTATTTTATTTTATTTTTAAAGATTTTATTTACTTATTTGACAGAGAGAGAGATCACAAATAGGCAGAGAGGCAGGCAGAGAGAGAGGGGGAAGCAGGCTCCCCGCTGAGCAGAGAGAGCCCGATGCAGGGTTCCATCCCAGGACCCTGGGATCATGACCTAAGCTGAAGGCAGAGGCTTTAACCCACTGAGCCACCCAGGTGCCTCCCCCCGACTTATTTTAAAAGATGGGTTCTTTAACAGTGAGATTTTTGTTCCAACTAAGCAATGTCAGGATGCCTTTTGGGACACATTTGCCTAATGAACAGTCACCTTTTAACCTTATACTCTTTGAACTTTGCGATCTTGTTTTTACCATTTTACCCATTTTTAAGTGTACAGCTCAATGATAGTAAGTATATTCACAGCATCCACCTCCAGAACATTTTCATTGTCCTAAGCCGAAACTCTGTTGCCCTTAAACAATAACTCCCATGACCTCCCCCCTCCACCCCTGCACCTGGCAACCAGTTTTCTATTTCCTGTCTACAAATTCGATCACTCTAGGTATCCCCCATAAGGAGAAGCCTAGGATTTTGTCTTTTTGTGACTGACTTAATTCACTCAGCAGTGTGTCTTCAAGTTTCATCCATGTTGTTGTTGGTGTCAGAATTTCCTCCTTTTTTTTTTTAATTTTATTTATTTATTTGACAGACAGAGATCACAAATAGAGAAGCAGGCAGAAAGGGGGGCAGGGAAGCAATGCGGGGCTCGATCCCAGGACCCTGAGATCATCACCCAAGCCGAAGGCAGAGGCTTAACCCACTGAGCCACCCAAGTGCCCCTTCCTCCTTTTTTAGACTGAATAATATTCCCCTGTACACAGGGGAATTTTTTTATTCATCCATCTGTTGACAGACTCTCAGATGGCTTCTGCCTTCCAGCTATCGTGAATGACATTGCTATGAACATGAGTGTGCAGATACCAGTTGGAGCCCTGTCTTCACTTTTCTGAGAGCTGTGAAAGAATGCCAGGAGCGGCAATCCTGGGTCACGCGTTGAGTCTGGGTTTCATTTCGATGAGACACTGCCGGGTGGTTTCCACTGTGGCCGCATCATTTTATCCCCACAGCCATGTACAGGGGATCAATGCTTTTTAAACTCATAACTTCTGAATGCCTTTTGTAAAAGTCTTGTGCTCTCAAGACCTGCATTTGTCTGTTGACTTATTTACAGAAATATTTAGAATAAAATACTTTGCAACTGGTGGAGGCACCCTGAATCCAGAGGTTGTTCCGATCAGTATGTGTACTGGCCCCGGAGGGCTCCTCCCTCGCTGGGGGTCTCATTCTTCTGACTGACTACGGAGGGAGGGGGCTGTGGGCAGGTATCTCTCCCTCACTCTGTAGCCAGAGGGGCAGATAAGCACTGCTGGCAAGCCCCGGTGACCCAACTGTCCTCAGTAACAGAGACCCAGCCTCTTCCAGAATTCTTTTTGGCAGATTTGTGACTGTGTAATCCAGGTTGTCTCCAAACAGCACAGCCCAGAGGGATTCTGTTTACAATTTACTTTATCTTTGATCATCTTGTTGGATTCTCCTCTGATTTCCCTTGTCTAGTCTTCTAATTAATTGAATCTTAAGCCTTTTCGTATTTTTGCCGATACATGTCTGAGAATTCCTCTGGGTTTCCTTGGACCCGGATAGTTCACATCCTAGGCAGGAAGGTGCTTTTGGATGGACTTCTAGCAAGTGATGGCCGTCGGATAAGGATTTGTGAGTTGTAATTGTTGTGACCATTGGCAAGACAAGAGTTTTTAATACCTGAAATATGTGGACCTGACTTTTGTCACTTAGGGTTTGGAAGAAGAGGAGGGGGTGACACAGAGGTTCATTCTCATGGGATGGAGAGCCTCTGGAGTGTCGCCCTCATAGTTCTGGGAACCGATGATGCCTGAGGGTTCTCCGTGGATCCTTCTCTAGCTTCCCTTATGCCTTCTGAAAGGTCCCTCTTCCAAACAGGGCTGTGGCAAGGACTGGGACTTAGAGTGATCGTGTGTGTAAGTGTGTGTGTGTCTGTCCTCTGTCCTCGCTGACACAGCTGAGTTCCTCTGCTGGATCCCTTTCCTCACAGCCTCTAAGTGCGGAAGTGCCCGGACCTCTGATCTTAGAGCTCTTCTCTGTTCTATCTACAGTCATTCCCTAGGGGATTTCTCCCCTTCCCTTGCATTAAACACATCATTATGCTAATAACTCCCCTTTTGTCCTATTCTTAAAACCCTGCATTTGTTTATCCAACTTCCAACTTGTTATCTCAAATTGGATATCTGAGAAGAATGCTGAATTCAAGGTATGGAAGACCAAACTCTTCATTTTTTCCACCCAAGTCAATTTTCACCTTCTTTCTTTACTAGCACTGTAAATGCCCCCTTAGCCAGCAGCTCAGGCCAACGTTCTTTCATCTTGAGCTTTTCATTCTCAACTGTGGATCCAATCCAATCTGCAAATCCTGCCACTTTTGCGTCCTAACGTCTATCTGTTCTCACCTTCTTCACTGCCTCCCAAGCAGACCCCTACTCCATGCTTGCCCCTTCACAGGGTTCCCAAGATTGTCCATTCATCACATCACCTCTGTGCTCAGACTTTTAAGGGCTTCTCATTTTATTCCCAGAACCAAACTCAAAGTCTTTGTCATGACCTGGGGGCCCCAGAAGGCCCTACATGATCTGTCTCCGGCCCCCCTTCCGTCTTATCTCATCCTGCTCTTGCCCCTCTTCCTCCATTGTATTGCCACTGGACTTCAGACATTCTTCCCACGCACTCAGTACTCCTACCTCAAAATCTTGAACCTTGCTTTCCCCTACATCTGGACTGCTCTTCTGTTTCGACATGGCTTGTTCCCTCCCTGTATTCAGGTCTCTGCTCATCTGCCACCTCCTCTGAGAGGCCTTGGCGCATGACCTTATGTGGAAAGTCACCCCGAACCCCCAACAATACGGTGGGTCACCCCATATGAAATGACCATCTTTGTAGGTCAAAAATGGTAGAATAGTGTCAATTTCCATTGGTTCAACACACACACACACACACATAACATTATCATATTTACCTGTCATCCTTTAAGTATTTATGGTTTTATTGCTTATTTTTTTGGCTTATTTGTCTCTTCCCTGGGAGGTAAATATCTTGAAGGCAGTGACCTAGAGAGCTCACTTCTAGATGGCACCTGTAACAAAGGGGCATGGACTGATCACCATCTGCTGTACACCTCTCCCATCTTTTGCCGAACGCTTTGATAAATTAAGCTCAGTAGACTACTCTCTGTGCAGGCACACTGGCATCTCCGGAGGCCGATCTCTTTCACTCCTTGCCAAGAGCCGTACTCTTCCATCCCCAGATTTCCATTTTTGAGATCCGGTCACCCCTCATATACTATTTTCTCTTTCAGATCATCTGGCTATGGGATCAGACTGCCCTTTCCTCTGAACTTCTGAGAGCTGTGTGCTGACTTTAGGATCCATATCAAAGCCTCCCCGAATGGTTTTTCTTGGACATTTTAACCCCCAATGTGAAAGATTCCCAGCCCCCCAGCTTCCTACACTTCTGCTTCAATAATCAGTTTTTAGTTCTTCCTCCAAGGTCAGAATTAAATCTAGGAGGAAAGTTCCTTGTGTTTCTGTTCCTCTGCAAAATGAAATTATCAGCAAGACAAGGTCAAAAGTATACTGTATGTTCTGCTTTTAGAGAAATGAGATTTCCCGTTGAAACTCAGAGGGCTGGTAAGTTCCCATTATTGCTATGACTTGTAAATGTGTCAATTCTGTGATCTTTTTAGGAATATATTAATCAGAGCTCAGTCTTATTTATCTGAGGCTTTATATTCACTTATGTTATGCTAGGTGCTTTCCAAACCATTAACAGTGGATGGAACCATCCACCACCAATATGACAATGTTTTGGATGTTCCCCAAGGAATGCACCCAAAGACTGTAACTTGAGTTCTTAATGATACTTGATTCAAAGTGGTTTTTGAATGACACTGTTAATTAAAAAAATTTTTTTTATGATATTTGTTGAAGGTGGTGAGACAGACTGTATCGAGGACCATTATGAATGTATGGGGAGCACTGCAACAGGATTTCATGGTAGGAGTGAGAGACGGGACTCAACTCGGAGTACAGGACAGGAAAGTGGGAATTTATAGCCAAGGAGCATGGTGAGGGTCAGTAGATAGAGAATTACTGAGAGGAAACATGTGGGGTAAGGGGGATTGGTCTGGCTAAACTGACCAAACTGAATTCCTGCTGAAGACAAGTCAGGGTGACCAGACATCACCTGGGGGGTGCCGGAGGATGGGCAGCCAGATCAGATACCGAGGGTGGAAGGTTCTGGTCAAACTGAGTTAGCAGGGTTCTTGACAAAAGTAGATTTTTACAATGTGGTGCATGGATGGGCCTAGCAGAAGAATTTAGGAGGTTGAGTAGATCAATGCCTCTTAGCCTCAGGTAGCAAAAGGGAGTGAGAGGGAACAGCACAGAGTGGGGATCAAGGGCCTGGATTTGGAGTCAAACATACTTGGTTTTGAATCCTAATGGTTTTGAATGCTCTGTGTATTAGGAAAACAGAAACCAAGCCAGTGACTTTAACAGAAAAGGATTTAACCAGAATTGGTTCAATGGATAGTGGAGATGCAGCATGAAAAAAAAAAAAAAAAAGGAGGCCACGGAGGCACAGAGGGATGGTGACTTTAGGAGGCAGTGACTCCTGCAGGGCTAGCAGGGCAGAGAGAAGAGGACGAGGGTATTAGAACCTTAACGCTCAGAGCAGAACCCTTTATAACTGGGACCCAGAGCTCTGGGTTGACTGACACTGGTATTTCTGATGGGCCCTTCTGAGGATGTAGGAAGTGGTGAAAACCACTACGAGCAAGATGCTGACCCTACTGGGAAGCAAACGGGAAGCAGCAGTCCCTTCTCCTTTGCCCAGCCCAACAGTCTCCTGCTGGCCTGCCAACGAGGAGCCAGTGACAAAGCAGAAATGTGGCTTGCAGAGTCCGGCCTCAGCATCACAGGAAAGATTGGTTCTGAAGCAGAAAGAAATTGCTTACTAACCAGTACAATGGCCTTACAGGAATGACAGAAGCTCTCTTAGCCTCAATTCCTCTCCCTCGATCCCGCAGCCAGAGAGTGACAAAGGAAGGGAGAAAGGAAAATGGAAAAAGGGAAGAAGAAAGATGAGAGAAGGGGTGGGAGGGGATGGAAGAAAAGTGAGAGGCACCCTGGGCTTGCGTGGCTATGTCTAGAGGGAGAGTCCCCCCCACGGAGGGGAGGGCTGAGGCTCTGTGGACCATCCCTGGCGCCCCCCCCCCGCCCCACGGGGGAGGCTTTTCCCATTCGGAACAGATTACATGCTCCAGGTGCTTTTAATGACTCCTGGGTGTTGCTATGATTTCTGAAAAATCAAGGGAACTACTAAGAGTGGCTGGAGGTATGGGATAATTTTCTAAGAAGTGAAGGCTCAGTGGCTTGGCAAAGGGTGGCAGCAGGAGGTCTTAATGAGTTAGACCACAAATTAATCCTGCCTTGTTTTTCCTTTAACTGGCTTTTTTTCCCCCTTGTTTTTGGCGGGCGCTAGCAGCTGTTCCGACTGTGTAATTAAGTCATTTCTGAAAGAGCTGAGCAGCTGGGTCAGTACTGTATGTTCCAGTGATCATTGGCTGTCAGGCTGAAGCTTAAATTAATATTCTGAACAGTTATTGAATTTATGCTGCCCCATCTTCATGGAAACCAGCGACGGGAACGATACCGCTATTCAGGCTTCTACTTTCATCAACAAATTCAAGGAGGGATAAAATCCAGAGCCAGCCTGCTATCTCTAGCCATAGCTCTTAGACTAGCTGTTGATGTGCAAAGTAGATAAGCCCAAATTGAGTCTGAGGAATTGGAAATGCAACTGTTGGCAGAGGACGGAGAGTCATCGCCCCACCACATGGAGGTGTCTCTCTTGCCTTGGGCCTCGTTTCCTTCCTGGAGAATAAACACAGATTCCCTATAATGCAAAAGGGTTACTTTTGGGAGGTGCAAATTGAAATTTGCTGGCTGTATAAACTTATGAAATTAGTTTCGCTGGTGGAAGAAATCTAAATTAAGGGACTGCTCTGAAATAAGGGAGAGTAATAAAGTATTTTTCATTATGTTCACCTTGGCACCAGCCACCGTCACTTTAATGATCTAATTTCTATTTTTCTTATTTAATGGATGACATTAGATTAGCTTTCCCAACAGTTTCATTTCCAAGTTAATGAAGTCAAAAGCTAAGTACATATAGTAGATCATTAGGGTAGATCCCATGGTCCTGGATTCTGCTGTTTTGTGACAAGATGAGATTTATCAGAAAAATCAGTCCCACTTTTCATACTGAATGGCTATGTCCTATGTATGAGGAGATCATTTAACTATCAGAATTACAGAGGAAACAGCATCTCCTCCATATCTGTAAATTTGCTCCAGTATTGGTTTTTCTGTGACTTTTCATACAAAGAATCGGACAAAAAGAAGAGATTTAATGTATGAAAATCAAAATTTGGGAATTTAAAAATTGATGTGTAGTAACCCAATTATATCAAGTGGTGGGGGACAGGGTTTTAAAGATTTATTGAAGGTAGTAACAGGAGTAAAATTTAACTTCTTATAAAATCTTTTTTGTTTGTTGGTTTGAAGGTGAGACTATACTTACCTTCTCTTCCATCAGTCTTCTTAAGGAAAGAGCACAGGATTTGGGGTCAAAGACCTTAGTTTGCTCATCTGCCATTTCCAGTCAAGATGGAGTTACAGGGAAGAGATTTATAATTCTCACCTAAAACCACTGACAGAAAGAAAGAGAGAAACAATGGTTTTCAAAAATATGGATATTAGAAAACAAAGGACTATGACTCCTGAGACTCCTGAGATTTTTATTTTTTATTTTTATTTTTTAAAATTTTATTTATTTATTTGACAGACAGAGATCACAAGTAGACAGAGGCAGGCAGAGAGAGAGGAGGAAGCAGACTCCCCGCTGAGCAGATAGCCCAGATGCAGGGCTTGATCCCAGGACCCTGAGATCATGACCTGAGCCAAAGGCAGAGGTTTTAACCCACTGAGCCACCCAGGCACCCTCTGAGACATGATTTTTTAAAAAAATGAGGTGAATCTTACAATCTGTGTAAGGTCAATGCAATCCTAAACAAAATCTCAGAAGCCTTTTCTGTAGAAATTGAAAAGCTGCTTCTGAAATTCATATGGAAATGCAAACAAACAAAACAACAACAAAAAAACCCCAAGAATATTCAAAACAAGTTTGAAAATGAAGAGCAAATTTGGAGGGCTTATACTACCTAATTTTAGGACTCATCATAAAGCTATAGTAATCAGACAGTCTGGTATTGACAGAAAGAGAAACAAACAGTGGAACAGAACAGAGATTCTAGAAATAGGGTTACATATATCTGGCCAATTGATATTCAAAAAAGATGCAAAGAAAATCAATGGAGAAAGGACAGCTTTTTCAATAAATGGTGCAGGAACGACTGGATATCCATTTGCAAATAAACAAATAAGAAATTTGGTACACTCTCACATCATGTAAAAACAACCAAAATGGATCAGAGACCAAAAGTAAAACCCCAATCACAGAACTTCTAGAACACATAGAAAAAAGTCTCTGTGACATAGGGTTAGGCAAAGACGTCTTAGATACGGCACCCAAGCCATGATCTATAAAAGACAAATTTTAAATTTGACCTCATCAAAATTTAAAACATCCGCTCTTCAAAAGACATTAATAGAAGGAAAAGACTACAGAATGAGAAAAGTTTTGAAAAGATCATCTATCTGATAAATACTCATGTCCAAAATATATAAAGAACTCTTAAAACTCAAAAAGCAAACAACGCAATTTTTAAAAATGGGCAAAAGGTGCTCAAAGTGTAACACACTAGATTGTGGTAGGTCTTGAGGACCAAGCTCCTGGCCCCAGTTCAGTACTCTTTTTCCACAGTAATCTCTGCTGCTGGTTCCCTTGGCTAGACTGTGGCAGAGAGGCAATTAGATACTGGGTGTCTTAGCTCTCAGTCTGGTGCTCTTGACACCGTGCAAGGTAATTTTTTAAAAAACCACCATGAATTGGAATTAACTTATTAATTAGGGAGAAGGACACCTAGAGATAAAATCATACTAGTTGCAGGAAAAAATCCCTGTGGACCGTACTCCCATGCCATGCATTCCCAGTTCAATCCCCAGTGTCTCTCTAGAGATGCATCCTCGGATTGCTACTGCCCCTGAACCAGAAGCCAGTTTGGAGCTTTACAGCAGGTAACTGCGGGGCTGGACTGGGAAGGCCTCCCTGGTGCATTACCACTGTCATGGCGCCCTTCCACCACAAGATGGCACACAACTCTCTTCTTTCGGGTCGGAACAGTCAGCGCCACAGCCAAGTCTGAAACCAGGCATATTTCAAATCAAAGGAAGATGCATTTAGTTTTAAAACTGACTTTTTTTTTTTTTTTTTAAGAATTTATTTATTTATTTAACAGAGTGAGAGACAGCGAGAGAGGGAGCACAGCAGGGAAAGTGAGGGAGGGAGAAACAGGCTTCCCACAGAGCAGGGAGCCCGATGTGGGACTCGATCCCAGTACTCTGGGATCACGATCTGAGCCCAAGGCAGACACTCAACAACTGAGCCACCCAGGCGCCCCGCACTTATTTTTAAAAGTTGCCCCCTTCACTCTGAAAAATGGCTGGGACAAAACGACGAGCACAGGACATTCTGCTTGTTGGAGAGGTGATGGGAGAAAGGAGGCTGCGACTGAGTGTCTCCTCCAGACTTGACCAGACCTTCACGTTCCTGAATTCCTCTTCTACTCCCATAGAGACCTATGTTCCTGATCTCTTTTCCCATAATGACGAGGACATATTTTTCACGCTTTCCTCCGTGTTTCTGCTGCTGACCATCCACTTCATACATTACTTGCTGCTGTTAGGATGCCAGTCCGGGCACAGGGAGTCGATGTTATTCTGTGTCTCACCTGGAATACAACCAGGCCTGGGTGGCAGCCCTGCCCCTCCTCCAAGCTGTGGCTCCACACAGCCCTCTGCTGACAGGGCCACCATCTTCCTTCCAGATCCTTCCTCCTCGCTGAGATCCATCAGCTGGCAAAAGGCATATTATGGAGCTGAAAGTCATTTGTAATGCCTCCCGAGGAGCTCACACATCTCACTCGAAGAGAGGAGAGTGTTCCTGTGGCCTAAAGTAAGAGAAGCCTGGCACTTCAATCCCATGTCATCGTTATTCCTAGGAAATCTTGAGGAAATGTGGTTCAGACATACAGACAAATCATTGCAACGTAAACCCAAGGGGATGGGAAGGGCGAGTTTGAGATGATCTCCAAAGGCTGAGTGGAAGATAACTAGTCCTAGGTGGGCAGAAGTGTGGGGCTGGCAGGAAGGAAAACGTTCTCCACAGACACGACCGCATGCAGGCCTGAGGTGAGGAACAGCAGACGCGAGCAGTGTGCCCAGGTTGTTCTGTGGTTCTAGAGAGTGAAATGCAGAGAGTCACTAAGGAAGCTGCCCCCGTGACAGGTGGTTGCTAGACACATGGGGCCCAATGTTCCCTAGTCAAAGGCTGGGCCTCTGGCTGGGAGCGATGGATTGAGCCCTTGACGAGTTTGACAAAGACGGTGTATGATTTAAATAAATTGTTCTATCTCTGAGGTGAAAGACAGATTAAGGAAAGATATTCCCAAATCCTGGGAAAGTGGTTGGGAAGCCAATGCGTTGATTCAGGCGGGAGGTGATGTGGGCTGAGCCAGGCCGGTGG